AAAACAAAATCCAAATGCAGCATATTAAAAACTGTCTCCTTGGTTAGTGCTTTACACATTGAAAAGGTCATTATCACTGGGAAAGAGACTTTTTTTGTTTAGATGGAGCAAAGCAGTTGCCCTTGACCCTAGGCAGGGATGGAGAAATTAGGGGATGCTGATATATTTGGGTTTCTGGTTATCGCGGGCACAAAAAGAGCTCTCTATTCCTGCTGATAAACGGGGAGATGCAAGAGGCCTGGGAGAGTCATGTGGAGCCTGGGGAAGATGCTGGCAGAAAAGCTGCTATCAGGGCCCCCAGAATTAGTCTTAACCGCTCCCTTGACCAGATCATTACAAGAGGCTGTTCAGACAGAGCAATCTTGCAGATTATCCATGCATTTGCCAAAAAAGTAGACTCTGTGCTAAGCACCCTGGTTTTTATTTGTCCCTTTTCCCTTGTAAGGAATTGAATTGGACTAATAGGAAAAATGAATTCTACTAGAAATCTACATATTCATGCCAAAGGTTTTCTTCCAAAGTCTGAATGTCTGAAAAATATTTGCAAAAATTGTAATCACTGTTTAGCTCCTGAAATACAGGGAAATCAACAGATGGATGCTAATTTGCATTTGTGTTCAAAATAAGATGGATTTGGGAGTCCTACTTCCATCCCTGCTGCCATTTGGAAATGACAGTATCATGCTTTCTGTCCCTAATTGTAGTTATTGTCATATTGCACATCTCAAGATTTCTGGGAAAAGCTGGAGTGTCTCTCCCCATGCGCCAGCTATTGCTTACAGAGCTTGGTTTCATAATTTCATAATCACTGAATTGTCCGTAGTAAATTATGGGAAATTACAGGGGACTAACCAATGTAAGGCATATGAAACCTATAATAGTCTAATAATAATTTATATTTTTAAGCCCCATAAAAACTTAAAATAATCAAGGAGGGCTGTGTAAAATGACTGAAATCCCACTTTAATTAGTAATTTTGTAAATTTTCCTGATTATAAGAAGTTGGACAATTTCTATTTTATTTTATATTTGAAAAAATGAAAATGTAATTGAAGTGAGTTTTTAGATCATTCTAGATCAGGCCCAGAGAACTTCCTGAAATATGGTAGGTGGTCAAATATATTTAATTATTGGATGAGGTGAGGGGTTAAAAGAGCTAGATACAACCTTTCCAATAGTTTATAAACGGAGAAAAAAGAAATAATAGATGTATGTTTTTCTTAAAAACAACCTGATTGAAAATAAAATTTTATCCCTTTTAATCAAACACATTGAAATCTAACTGATAGAATAACAAGAATTCATTTTTACATGTTACAGACTTAGAAATTGAGGTAATTTAAATAAGAGTTAGGATGAAGTTTACTTTTACTTTATGTTAAAAAAAAGTTTCCTAATAAAAGTGAACAAAGTAAACAAGCTTGCTGAGATGTTTTATCTATCAGAGACAGTAAATCATTTTCAAGCAACTTCCTCCCCATCCCTTCTCCACCTCTTTTGAGAGCTCACTCTGTGGGTGTATTAGTTTTCTACTGCAGTACTCTAACAAATTAATATAAACTTAGGGGCTTAAAACAAGACCGACTTCTCTTACAATTCTGTATGTTAGAACCCTGACATGAGTCTTACTGGGTTACTCTCAAGGTGTCCATTGGGCTCCATTCCTTTCTAGAAGCTCTGAAGGAGCTCGGAGAATTATGTCCTTACCTTTTTCAGTTTCTAGAAGCCATCCCCATTCCTTAACTCACCTCATGGCTCCCTTCCTCTATGTTCAAAACTGGCAATGTTGTATCTCACTGACAATTCTCTGTACACACATCTCCCTCTCCCCACAGCTGGATACAATTCTCAGATTTTAAGGACCGTGTGATTACACTGAACACACCCAGGTAATCCCGGAGAATCTCCCCATCTCAAGACCCTTATCATGAATCACATCTGCAAAGTCCTTTTGTCATGTGTGAAAACGTATTTGCAGGTTCTAGGAACTGGGACATAGATATCTTTGGGGGCCATCTGTGTATGCAGTGAGAGGTAGTGTTCAGTTCACAAGACTATGAGCCAGCATCAGAAGACACTGACATAGATTTACTTATTTAAAAAAAAATTGGTGTATAATAATTCGTGCTTATTAATGAAGGCAGTTATCATCAACTTCCTTTCAAAGAATTTCATAAATTGTTTGAAATGTTTTTATGTACATACAACTTTTAAAATAATTTAATAATTATTTAATGGTAAATTATTGCTTAATAGTAATAATTCCATTGCCTTCCACAAGTCTATGTATTTCACAGAATTTAATTATAATAACAATATAGCTTTATATACATAATCTACTTTATATTCTGTTTTCACCTAATTCTTACATATACTAGTATCCAAATAAGCAATATTTTATTAAACTTTACTCCTGATGTTAGAAATTTATGTGTTTAGTTTCTTACTAATATAGATAATGCTTCGCTAAATATTGACTTATTTATACAGCTGTTTTTGCTTTTATTGTATAAATCCCTTGGAAACAATTCCTTTGAAAGAAATTACAGAGTAAGAATATATGACTATCTGTGGGTTGTCTACCCATTCCCCTGTTCTTATTTGCTTATATCACCATAATTTGCTCAGGTATTAGGTGGTAATGTGGTCAAGGACCATGATTTAAGCCCCAGGGGATGAATTTGTCCTAAACAAAACCTGGAAGTTTCTGTCTGTTTTGCCAGTGATTGGTTTAAGAATCTGTGGTCAAATTTGTCCAGTTAGACCAAGTTGAAGTTTTTATAGCTGGTGCGGGTTTGATCGGAGCTAGAATTTAGTTAAGATGATGAATCTGTCGTGTGCTGACATTTGTATGCACCATCTGGGTGTCTTTTGTTACCATAGTTCAGATGACAGAAGGAGCTGAAGTAGGATGAGATTGGAACAAGAGCAAAAGGCACTGAAGAGAATGAGACAAAGGAAAGATTTGAAGAAAACTGACATGACTGTATAAGGGAGCAAGTGCCATTGCTGGGATTGTGGGTTTGTGGTCCAGAGTGTTTTAGATGTTCAGAGATGTTGACCTCAATTTGAGATATATGACCTAAGGACAGACATCCAAATAAGTGTGGGCTTCACAAGAAACCTTGGGTCCAATAGAATGGACTGTGAGAAACAAATGAAAGCCTCATATATAATTTTAAATTTTCTAGTGACATTTCAGGGCGCCTGGGTGGCGCAGTCAGTTAAGCATCCGACTTCAGCCAGGTCACGATCTCGCGGTCCGTGAGTTCGAGCCCCGCATTGGGCTCTGGGCTGATGGCTCAGAGCCTAGAGCCTGTTTCCAATTCTGTGTCTCCCTCTCTCTCTGCCCCTCCCCCGTTCATGCTCTGTCTCTCTGTGTCCCAAAAATAAATAAATGTTAAAAAAAATTTTTTTTCTAGTGACATTTTTAAAAAGTAAAAAAAAAGTAATGTTGATTTTAATAATACATTTTATTTGACACAATGTATCAAAATGTTATCATTTCATTATAAAATCATTACATATTCCAACATCTCAGTTTGTCCTGGCCACATTTCAAGTGCTTAAGAGTCGTGCAGCACAATTAGAAAGATGAATTCAGGAGCCAGTTATAAAGTCAGCACCTTTCTTTGTCTGCTAATATGAACCTGTGTTTGGGTTGTTTCTGTGTTTTGTTTGTTCGCTTGTTTGTTTTTTGCTGTTGTGAATAACACTGTAATGAACAGTCCTATGCACAACTCCCGGGGCAGGAATTCAGGATGGTATATCCCTAGGAGTAGGATTGCTTGCAGGTAGCAGAGGAAATCGTGCTTGTTTCTCCAAGAAACAAGATTCTTCAAATCTTTCGTTTGTCTCATCCTCTTCAGTGCCTTTATTTTCCACAGTGGGTGTTCCAGTTCACTTTTCCAGATAATGGTGTGTAAAAGCGTCCTCATTTCTCCACATCCATACTAACATTTGGGAAAGTCTCATTTTTTCATTTTTGTCAAACTAGTGGGTGTAAAATGGTTCTTATTTTCTCATAATTTGCACTTTTCTGATTATTAATGAGCTTGAATATCTTTTCAGAGGTATATGAACCTTCATTCTTTTCTCTTCTATGGAAATCACAAATATCTATTCATTCATATATAAATATATTTATATGATATATGTCATATAATATTATATTTATATATATGTCATATTACCTATTTATTCACAAATATTTATTAAGCACTGTTTATTAAGTATTGGTTTAGGTACTGGCAATATATTAGTGGGGAAAACAATAGTCCCAAATCCTGCCCTCCGGAAGTTTACATTCCAGTACATTCCATACATCTCCACATATACCATGTGTATATGGTGAGAAGGGAGAGATAAAAAAAACAAAGCCCTATAGGTCAAGTGGTATTAGGAAACCTCGTTGAAGTCTGGCTCAGCCATTTTACATCATTAAACCTTGGCAGCAACTGTAAAAAGGAAACTGTAATGCTATCTCTCTTAATTTTTTATTAAATGCATATAAAGAACTTGATGGAGTCCTGGCAAATTTATGGATTCAGAAAATGCTAAGAATAAGTATTATTTCCTCCTTTCTTGCTTCTACTTTTTTTTCTGTAATTTGCTTCAGTTAGGACTACTGAAGTTTAAGAGTAAATTTGTTTTGGTTTGTTGAAGTGTTGGCTTTCGTTAGGGTGTCAACCCATTGGTACTTTCTGGCTAATTTTGAGATGTGTTTTTGAGATTTCAAGCATCTTAAATACCAAGGACCAAGATCCTGAGAACATGTACTTTTTAAAAGACTGCATTAGGTCAAATGCCAAAAATGAGGGAAAATCTGTAGGAATGTCTTGTATTCATTCAGGGCTGTGTCCTGTGAATATAAATTTTTCCTGAATTAATCATTTCAGTCCAACAACCAATTTGCTGTAAGCTATGTGCAAAGTATTGTGCAGAGGAGATACATGTGACTTTGTTAATCTTTGGAACAATTATTTGTCCCTCTTTCTTAGATTATGATGTTGAAAATGATCTTCAATCAGACATCTGTTGAGCACTGCAAGACACACACTGAAAAGCTGAAAGAATGCAACTTCTTCTTAATAGCTGTTCGCCTGGCTTCACTGAACCAGATCTTGGATCCCTGGGTTTATCTGCTGCTAAGAAAGATCCTTCTTCGAAAGTTTTGCCAGGTAGCAAATGCTGTCTCCAGCTGCTCTAATGATGGACAGAAAGGGCAGCCTATCTCATTATCCAATGAAATAATACAGACAGGAGCATGAAAGAGAACACCTAATCAACTTGCATGTTCACAGCTTTTGGCAACAAATAGCCCTAAACCTTACTGTGAATTTAGGCATCTCTGGCATGCCACCATTTATGCATTGAAGGAGAATTTTGATATAAGGCTAAATGGTCTCAGAAGCATAGATAATCCCCTGTGTGCCAAAAGTATTGAAATACAAACAAAGGAAAATATATTAGTGACAGTCTAATGTTTTTGGGTCTCTGCCATTTGTAGCTGAATATATGATTATTTATGAGATGAACACATTTTTTATAAATGATCTTGGTCTGTGGTGGGGATGGGATAGGAAAAGTTAATATTCCAGTATACTGAGTACTTGGGGGATTGAATGCATAGATCATCAAAGATAGGCAAAGATTTGCTTTTGTTCAAAGACCTTGGTCTTCTGTATTCTCTTTCTTTCTCTCCATGTCACTCTTTTCCCTGTATATTTTTTAAAAAAGTTGCATTAGGATAAAAACATATAATGTATACAATATTTGGTGGTACTGATGTACATATTGCTCAATCTATAAATTATCTGCTGAACGTACAAAGTTTAAGTTTTGGTTGTATTGGTAATTAGGTTTACTCATTATCTAAATGACAGCCAATTCCATTTATTTCAAATATGGTGGGATTTGTGACTATCCAAATACTAAATGTTCTTCTTTTTTAATACGTTTTTAATTCCTACAAGCCTGGATAAGATTCATGAATCTGATCTTGAGAGTCAATGTAGTGGTTTTTCAAAATGCTATTTAACAACTGATTGGAGAACTAAATATAGGTACTGTGCTTAATTATCTTCCTTGATTTTTCCACCAAAAGTATTCTCTAGTCTTTTGGAATATCTAAATACTAACTCTGATTCTAAGACCGATAAATATTTTGAAGGTTCCATAAAGAATTTGGCCTATTTATAGAATAAGAAAATTAATAAGGTTGACCCCTCACAGCACTTTCTCTGTTCCCTCTTTATCTAAATATTTATTATTAATATATTTTTCTTTTTTTTTTTTTTAATTTTTTTAACGTTTATTTATTTTTGAGACAGAGAGAGACAGAGCATGAACAGGGGAGGGGCAGAGAGAGAGGGAGACACAGAATCGGAAGGAGGCTCCAGGCTCTGAGCCATCAGCCCAGAGCCTGACGCGGGGCTTGAACTCACGGACCGTGAGATCGTGACCTGAGCCGAAGTCGGATGCTTAACCGACTGAGCCACCCAGGCGCCCCAATATATTTTTCTTCTAGTCTACATGTGTACAAACCTTGATGGCTAAGGTTGATATATTTTGGGCACAAGTAGATCATTACGTTAAGTTTTGAGAGTTGCACTTAAAAAAAAAGAATCTCCCCAACAAACACAATAATCTTTTAATTTGGACCCGCACAAAATGCTCTTTGTTTTCTTTGGAGCATTCATTTTGCAAACTCATTAACATTTTCTCATGAAGATCTTAATTTACAGCTTATCTTATTGTATTCCTAGTTAAAAAAAATTAAGATTTATTTTATACTTCTTTATAGTACTACTTTTTCCCCTGTGTTTAGTAGGCATTTGAGGAAGAATTGATTTCAACAGGTACAATATATGCATTAGGTTAATATGTAAACCACCCCAGGTCAATCAGGAATAATCAATTTAAAGCAAAGTGTTAAGCTGAGTGAGAAACAAGATCTGCTGAGAGTGCCTATGTAATTCATGGCGGTTGTACTGCCTATGTTTTAGAAAAAATGATGATAAATAACCTAATACTAAAGCCCCATTGTAAAATCTCTCTATGCTATAGAATTGGGTTTCCCACAGGTCACCTCATGAAGAATTAGACAAAACTACCTCCTTTTTCAAGAAAAAAAAAGTGCACTTAAATGACCTTATAGTAAAGAAGCTTTACCTCTTGAATGGTCCTCTGGTCCTGGGTTATAATCAGATACACACACACACACACACACACACACACGCACACATGCACACATGCACACACACACAGAATGAATTTAACTGGTATGAGTGTCATTGGGTTATTCCTTCCAGCACCTAGTCCAACACTTGAAACATAGAAAGCGTTCAGAATGTATTCAGTGAATGAATGAATAAATGTCTGCCAAAACTCAGTGCATATCAGTGAGGCACCTGCCATATGATTGAAGTGCTTCATGCCATTACAGTCCATAAAACTGATAAAGTGAATGATCTCTGCCTATTTAATTACAGAAATATGAATTTATCTTCAAATGTGTAGTATCATATTGCTGTACAACAAAGTGCTTTTTTTGTGTTAATAATTTAAGAGACCGATACTTCCAAATGGTAATGGAGATTACTGTCAAAGAAATATCACTTTTCTTCAAAGCACAGAAATACATAAAGACAAAACAGCCTCAAACTTATCCTTAATGACAAAATAAATATCTTCCCAGCGATACATGGTAGGAGTGGACAAATGGCAGCTTTTGAACAAGGTTGAAAAGGAAGTAGAGAAGGAAAAATTACATAAATGGTGTGTTTTTGTTATCTAGGCAACCATTTGTTCATCCAGAGAAAACCAGATAAGAAATGTAAGTCCCAAATGATTTCAGCCTTTGGATGGTAGTTGAGATTAGATTTCAGAGATGTTGTGCAAAGGCCCTAGATGTGGTTAGGAAGCAGGCATCTAAAGTCACTGTAGAAAAACCTTTGTTTCCAAATTTAAGTTTATTGACCTTTAAATTCATTCTCATATACTTAATTGATCTATATATATATCTGAGCAGGAAAAGAAAATGTGTGCATAAATTGTGACAATTCCTAACTTGACAATATTGGTTAAAAATAATAGAGGTCTAGGAAACCACATGGGAAGAAGTGACTGAGTGCAATGTAGAAATATATGTAAAATCGTCTATTGTAGATTTTACAAAGCAGTGCTGATTTTCTAAACGATGAGTTTATACAGTATGCTGTGTTGTAGAAGAAAATGATGGCATGCTATCCGGTAAGAACATTTTATTTTTCAGATAAAATTAGTGTGGTGGATATCTTAAAACTATTTAAATGGAGGAAACAAAATGTGTTAATATTTATGAAATTTACGTAATGCTGTATCTCAAGATATTCTAAGTAACTGTGCTTAATTGTGACAGATTTAAATGGCTATGAATCAAAAAGTGAACATATATTTCTACTTAACACTTCTTTATTGCATAAAAGATCTCTTGACCACGTTATAGAATAGAATTAAGTAAGCTCATGTAAAAGTTAGCTGAAAGAGACCCCGGGGCCATGCTGATGTTGAGTAATGGACTGACTAGAAACTCTGACAAATCACTATTTTTAAAAGGTGGTCAATCTGTGGCAATATTCTAATAATAGATTTTCAAGTGAATTAGACCTTTTATTTATTGATACTTTTTATATTTTTGTGTTTTTGATTCCTAATTTGTGATTAACTTTCAATCTCCCCATGTCAACAATCACTTAATAGTTCTTTGGTATTGGGATTAAACCAGAGACAGAAAGTAGAAACATTTTGATCTTTGAAATTGTAGGCATATATATTGCCTGTTTATTTTTTAATCCTTTAACCTTGAAAGCTTTTCTTGAGATAAACAGGATACCAGAAGATGAGTGACACAGAAAGACTACAGAGTAATTATTCGTACGAACAGATAAAAGTTTAATGTGGAAAAACTAAAATTTCTACGATTTACCCATGTGAAACGTTTAGATGATCAATCATGCCAAATATGCAGTGATGCTCTTTCTTGCTGGTTTTGTGCTTGCATATTTCTCAAAGTCTGCTAAAACTGAGGTTTAAATAAAAGTGCAGAATTGTTCAATGAATGAGATTATATCATTTTAAAAAATGAAGACTCTTTAATACTGTGGCTATGTCCAGAGGACTGTTTTCTGAGTTGCAATAAAATTCTCATAAGAGGTGGTACATAGCTGTGATGTTTCCTAACATAGGTTTTGATAGAGCCAATTTACAAACTTTGAGAATCAGCCTAAAGCTCACATGCACATTTGTTAAAAACTGTATCAGCTCAGTATTCTATTCTAACGAATAGGCAGTGATTACTGAAGCATGAAACAGAGAATTAGGGGAAATTGTAAAATTAAAACTCCATTGTATTGGCATTTACATGGATACTAATTTCATGAGAAAGTTCATATTCAGCTGAATTACTCCTACCCAAAAAGTTTCAGTTTCGATGTTACAAGGAATTCGTATCTACAGTGATCAAGTAAAACCTTTCACATGTCCTCCCTGAATGTCTGTTTTGGATTGAGTCCACCTTGAATAAAACTGAAGAAAGTAAAAAGAATAGTGCAGGGTGGCCTTACTCTCAAAGTGAAAAAAGAGAAAACTGAGACTATGCCTATCTCTGAAAGACTTGAACAAGTCTAGAATCAAAGAATTTTTGTCTCACAAGGAGATCAACAATTCATTTTAAAGTCAGATGGAAAGATCTCTCACTCCACACTACTTAACACATCCTTTCTCACTGTCTCTGTTCTCTACTCTTTTAAGGAATGAAAGAAAACAGCATTTTTACTTTATATATTGTCTATTTTATAATTCCTTAAGCAAAGATTCTATTTAAAGGTTTATAATTCATACAAGGTGAATTGTAAACCATTACATTATGATACCATAAGCTGAGTATATTTTGATTCTCTAGAAAAACAATTCAATCAGATACAAACCATATTCATTTATATGTCTCTCATTTTCTTCATTGAGAATGAAAATTATTTGATTTTAGAAGTTTTAAATCAATCAGTTGCATATTCTCAACAACCCAAATATTTACTGGATTATGTATTTTTTCATTAAGAATGAGACTGTCACCCTAAGCCTTGCCTCCAGTTTATTCATTTTCTCAGCAGAAGGAATGTAACAGATATTTACTGTTGGT